CTCCATTTGGAATTCGTACAAAATGAATTGGCATATACGTAGATTCCTCAAGAAAGTACCCATCACTTCTGTTTTCTAAAAGGCTGGTGCGCGACAGAAATATTATCGTAATAAAGGGGCGTGGCAGTTGCTACACCTGAAAGTTAGTAGGATTTAGAGTCCTTTTTTTCGCAAAATTGTTACCTGGAAGATTTATAAGTGCGTGTAGGCAACTACAAAACTAAATCGTGTTTTATAAAACTTTTTCTATTTTTCTGCAGATTACGTCGTAGTTCTAACGAATTCAGTAAGACCTCTTCTGAATTTCTTATGTGAAAAAGGAAGCTCGCTTTTGAAATGCACCTCTATTTTTGCAAAATTCAAAACCGTCTCACGTAAATGTCTCCTGTTCTCCTGTAATCTTTGTGTCACAGAAAATCGAACACGAAGTCCATCATCGCCTACTTAGCATTTTTTGTAAACTCGTTATTCTCTGCTATTAGTCTGCAAACTTGTTTCTAATCGACTTTCATCTCTAAATTGATCAGCTGACGGTGGCCTGGTACTTATTTTCTGAAAGGGAAAGTCTACTTACGTAGGAAGTACCAGTACATGTTTTGCAATTATCGCAGATTTGCGACTAATACGGCATTTTTAGGCCCATACCGTATCCTTTGGGCATCGGTCTATACAAATTATCCAGAATGGATCTCGCAAATGTTCATAGTAAACGCTCCTTCATTTATGTCTCTGCTATGGAAGGTATGAAAAGACTGGAAAAAGACAAGGTCTAACTATATCCCCGATTTTTTTTCTACAGGCAGTTGGTCCGCTCATACCGGAACGAACTCGTAATAAAGTGAAAATTTGCACAACGAACAGTGACTGGAGGAGTTTGATCCAAAAAGTGAGCTCAGCTCATTATTTTACGTCACGTCTGAACAATTTTCACTAATGCACTTTCAGTATGCCAAGGCAGAGAATATACCAGCACACTGGGGAGGAACACTAGTCGACTCGAACGGGGATGGAATGTGTCGGTAAGGAATTTTGATCAGAAAATAATTCAAGAAAA